GAACGGAAGGGAGGGAGGGAGGGAGGGGTGGGAGATCCCATCCCGTGGAATTCCCGGAATTCTGGGAGTGTTCCGGAATGTTCTTCCCGTGGGATCACGCGGATCAGGGATTAGGAGTGGGTTGGGGTTGGGATCGCGGGATCGGTATCTGCAGGGATTCCCGGTGGGAGCGGTGTCCCCAATCCAGACCCCTCATTCCCCGGGTTCGGGGGGCGGGGCGTGGCGGGGGCGTGGCCTCGGGGCCCCTCCCACCTGTACATGATGACGTTGATGTAGCAGCTGTCCCGCCGGAAGCAGGGGCTCAGCGGGATCTCGTCCCGCCGGCAGAAGCGGATCTCCACCGGGAAGTGAGCGCCGATCCCGGGATTCCGGTCCAGCTCCGCCTTCAGCTCCAGCAGCGCCTCCTTGGTTTTCCCGCTGGTCCCGGGAAAAAGGAAAATTCCCTGGTGAACGGAAGGGAGGGAGGGAGGGAGGGGTGGGAGATCCCATCCCGTGGAATTCCCGGAATTCTGGGAGTGTTCCGGAATGTTCTTCCCGTGGGATCACGCGGATCGGGGATTTGGAGTGGGATGGGGTTGGGATCCCGGGATCGGGATCTGCAGGGATCTCCAAGGAAATATTCCAGGTGGGAATGGTGTTCCCGTGGCAGATCCCTCTTCCCAGGGATTTGGGGTCTGGAGGGATCTCCATCCCACAGAAATCCGGGAATTCAGGGAATGTTCTGGAACGTCCTTCCTGTGGGACCACATGGTTCTGGGATTTGGAGTGGGATGGGGTTGGGATCTGCAGGGATCTCCAAGGAAATATTCCCAATAGGAATGATGTCTCCTCTTCCCATGGGTTTGGGATCCCGGGGTTGGGATTTGAAGGGAACTCCATCCCATGGAAATCCTGGAATTCGGGGAATGTTCTGGAATGTTCTTCCCATGGGATCACACGGATCTGGGATTTGGAGTGGAATGGGATCAGGATCTGCAGGGATCTCCATGCCCAGATTCCAGGTGGGAATGGTGTTCCCATGGCAGATCCTTCTTCCCATGGATTTGGGGTCTGGAGGGAATTCTGGGCTGGAGGAGATCCCAGGAAAGGGCTGGGATTTGGAATTTCCATGGGAATGGTCCAATCCTAGACTTGGATCTGGGAATTCCCACAGGAATGGACTGGGATTTGGGAATTACATGGGAATGGGCCCAATCCTGGAACAACATCTGGAAATTCCCGTGGGAATTGACCAAGATTTGGGAACTTCCATGGGAATGGCCCAACCCTGGACTGGGATAATGGAATTCCCATGGGAATGGAGCGGGATCTGGGAATTCCCATGGAAAAGCACCGGGATCAGGGAATTACATGGGGATGGCCCAGTCCTGGACTGGGATCATGGAATTCCCACGGAAAAGCACCGGGATTTGGGGATTACATGGGGATGATGGAACCCTGGACTGGGGTCAGGGAATTTCCATGGAAATGGACTGAAATTTGGGAATTCCCACGGGAAAGCTCCGGGATTTGGGAATTACATGGGGATGGCCCAGTCCTGGACGTGCTGGCGGAAGCGGCACTCGTAGTTGAGGATGCGGTGGCTGCGGTCGACGCTCTCCGAGCGGGAGCTGAAGAGGAGCCGGAAGAAGGCGCGGTTGATCCAGGACACCAGCCCGGGGAAGAAGGAGCTGCCGGGAAAAACCGGGAATTCAGCCCCGGAGCCGCTTCCCAAAGATCCGCCGGGAGCGGGGAGGGAGCGGGAAAGGGCCGGGGGAGGGTCAGGGGATGCTGGGATGGCGCGGGTGGGATTCATGGAGGTGGAATCCCATTCCGTGGGCGGGGAAGCATTCCAAGATTTCCTTGGGCGCTCCCAGGGATTCTCTGGGAATTCCAGCCCAGCCAGGAATTCCTTCCCAAATTCCTCCCCATTTTCCCAGGGAATTCCTTCCATTCCCAGCCTGGCATTGGATCCACCCCCATCCCGACTCCTCTCTGGGAAGGAATTTTGGGAATTCCCTGGGAATGCAGGACTCCATTTCTCATTTCCATCTCCAAATTCCACAAAAATCCCTCGGGATGGATCCTGAGTGTCCTGGATCCCAGAATGCCAAAACTCTTCAGATGGGATCCATGGATCTTCAATCCCATCCCTTCCCAACTCGGACACTCCGGGATCCCAAAGTTTTCCAATCTTTCCTTAGACACTTCCAGGGATTCTCTGGGAATTCCAGCCCAGCCCCAGCCAGGAATTCTTTCCCAAGATCCCCTCCCAATTTCTTTCCTTTTCCCAGTAGGAATTCCACTCCCTGGCTCCCATTTTCCCAAATTCCAGCTCTCCTGGAGCCCCTGTGGGACTCTGGAAAATTCCCGGTGCTTTCCACCTCTGGAATTCCATCCCGCCTCGGATTTGGGGCTCTTCCCCTCCAGGTTTTCCTTGGATATCCCGGATTTATCCTTCCTGTTCCCTCTGTTCCACGAATGCCAGTGGGAATCCCGGATTCCTGAACCCTTTTCCCTCTGGAATTGTCTCCCGGAGCTGTCCTGACATTCCCGATCCTCTGGGAATTCTCCCAAATCTGCGTGGAAACCTCAGGAATTCCCGGGATATCTCCCGATCCCTGTGGATCCGAAACCTGGATCAGGGATCCAAACCCATCCTTGGACACTCCCAGGGATTTTTTGGAAATGCCAGCGCAGACAGGAATTCCTTCCCAAATTCCTCCCCATTTTCCCAGGGAATTCCCTCCATTCCCAGCCTGGGATTGGATCCATCCCCATCCCGACTCCTCTCTGGGAAGGAATTCTGGGAATTCTCTTGAATTTGGGACTCCACTTCTCTTTTCCATCCCCAAATTCCATAAAAATCCCTCACGATGGATCTTTGATCCCAGAATCCCGGAATTCTTGGGATGGGATCCACAGATCTCAAATCCCATCCCATTCCAGTCCCAAAATCCCTGGATTTTCCAGCCTTGCCTTGGACATTCCCACGGATCCAGGGGTTTTCTGGGAATTCCAGCCCAGCCGGGAATTCCATCCCAAAATCCACTTTTTTCCCCATTTCCCCCCGCTTTTTTTTTTGGCCACTTGAATCCCTTGACAGAATTCCAAGATTTCCCAAAATCCCTCTTTTCCCAAAATCCCTATTTTCTCAAAATCCCTCTTTTCCAAATCCTCTGGATCCTTTCAGATCCCAATCCTTCGGACATTCCCACATCCAAACCCATCCCAAAAAATCTCCTTTGATCCCAAATTCCCAGCTTGGGACCGGTTTGGAGTTTTTGGAATTCCCATTCCCAATGGAATTTCAAATCCATTAAATTCCAGACATGGATCAGGGTGGGAGAATTCCTGGCTTTGGTTTCTCCAGCCCCAAAAATTCCATGAATCCGTGAAATTTGGGACATGGGAAAACCCTCAGATTCAGCTTTTCCAGATGGAAAAATTTCTTAAATTCAGGAAATCTGGGATATGGGAAAATTCTCAGATTTGGCTTTTCCAGCCCAAAACTTCCATGAATCCATGAAATTCAGGACATGGGAAAATTCCTGGATTTGGCTTTTCCAGCCCAAAAAATTCTATTAATCCAAAAAATTTGGGATAATGGATCAGGGCTGGGAGAATTCCTGGATTTGATTTTTCCAGCCCCAAAAATTCCATGAATCCATGAAATTCGGGACATGGGAAAATTCCCGGATTTGGTTTTTCCAGCCGGAAAAATTCCATAATTTCTGTGGACACCAGAGGGCAGCGAAGCCCTAGCCGGGAATCCCATCCCTGGAAAAGCAGCAATTCCCCAAATTCCTCTTTTCCCGGGAATGGGAATGCTCCCTAAAAACCCGAAAAAATTTCCAGCACAGGGAGAAAATCGGGATAAAACCAGGCTTGGAAAATCCCAGTCCCCATCCCAATCCCGTTCCCAATCCCGATCCCGATCCGAATCCCAATCCCGATCCCACCTCCAATCCCAATACTGATCCCAGTTCTGATCCTGATCCCAATCCTCATCCTGATCCTAATCCCAGTCCTCATCCCAATGATCCGGATCCTGATCCTGATCCCAGTCCCAATCATGATCTTTATCCCGATCCTGATCCCGATCCCAATGATCTGGATCCAGATCCTGATCCCAATGATCCTGAACCTAACCCCAATCCCAGCCCCAATCCTGATCCCAGTCCTGATCCCGATCCTAATTCCAACCCCAACCCCAATCCTAATCCAAATCCCAATCCAGATCCTAATCCCAATCCCAATCCTGACTGTAATCCCAATCCTATCCCAATCCAAATCCCAATCCTAATCCCAGTCCTGATCCCAATGATCCCAACCCCAATCCCGATCCCAATCCCAACCCCGATCCCGATCCAAATGATTCCAACCCCAATCCCGACACTGATCCCAAACCCAATCCCAATTCCAATCCCAGTACTGATCCCAATTCTGATCCCGATCCCAATCCCAATCCCAGTCTTGATCCCAATCAAAATCCCAATCCCAATCCCGATTCTCATCCCAATCCCAATCCTGACTCCAAACCCAATCCCGATGATCCCGATCCCAATGGGATCTGATCCCGATCCCGGCCTATTCCCAGGATTTCATCGCTTTCCTGGATAAACTGAGAGGATTTGGAGTTTGGGATTTGGGTTTTTTTGGGGTTTGGGGTCTGGGGGATTTGGGTTTTTTTGGGATTTTCAGGAGTTTGGGATTTGGGATTTGGGATTTGGGGTTTGGGAATTTTGAGTTTTGGGGGATTTGGGATATTTGGAATTTTCAGGATTTGTGGAATTTTCAAGATTCTGGGGATTTAGGAGCTGGAAGTTGGGATTTGGCATTTGGGATATGCAGTTTGGGAATCTGGGGGTTTGGGGGATTTGGGATGTTTGGGATTTTTGGAATTTTTGGGATTTTCCTACCTGATCCAGAGCAGGAACTCCAGGAGATGATATCCCACGGCGTAATCCCAAAACCAGCTGGAGGAGGAGCTGGGAGGCTGCAAATCCCACGGGAAAACAACGGATTTTAGGGATTTTAGGGATTTTTGGGATTTTTGGGATTTTAGGGAGCTTGAAAAGCGGGAATTGAGGGGCGGAATCCACCTGGGAGAGGGGGGTTGGGTCCCAAAATTCCAAATATTCCACGGTGGGGCAAAACCCAGCTCTAGAAAAATTCCCAGAGCCCATTCCCAAAATTTCTGCTTCCCACCCAAAATCCATCCCTGGAATTCTGGGAGCTTGGAAGTTCCCAGGATTTTTCAGGATCCGTTCCCAAAATCCTGGAATTCCTGCCCAAAATCAATCCATGGAATACCACAAGCTCGGAAATTCCCAGTATTTTTTGGGATCCATTCCCAAAATCCTGGAATTCCAACCAAAAATCCCTCCCTGGAATTGCCAGGAGCTTGGAAAACCTGGAAATCCCTAAATCCTGGAATTCCTGCCCAAAATCCCTCCCTGGAATTGCCAGATCTCTGCAATTCCCAGGATTCCTGGAGCCCAATCCCAAAATCCATCCCTGGAATTCCACAAGCTTGGAAAACCCTGCAATTCCTGGATCCCATTCCCAAATGGAAAACCTGGAAATCCCTAAATCCTGGAATTCCTGCCCAAAATCCCTCCCTGGAATTGCCAGGAGCTCTGAAATTCCTGGAATTCTCAAAATCCTGGAATTCGTGCCCAAAATCCACCCCTGGAATTGCCAAATCTCAGGAATTCCCAGGATTTTTCAGGATCTAGTCCCAAAATCGTGGAATTCCTGCCCAAAATCCATCCCTGGAATTGCCAGATCTCAGCAATTCCCAGGATTCCTGGAGCCCAATCCCAAAATCCATCCCTGGAATTCCACAAGCTTGGAAAACTCTGCAATTCCTGGATCCCATTCCCAAAATCCTGGAATTCCCTCCCAAAATCCACCCCCAAATTTGCCAGATCTCAGAAATTCCCAGGATTTTTTGGGATCCGTTCCCAAAATCCACCCCTGGAATTGCCAGATCTCAGAAATTCCCAGGATTTTTTGGGATCCGTTCCCAAAATCCACCCTCGGCCTTGCGGGATGCCGGGAATTCCCGGGATTTTTTGGGATGCCCGCCTGGTTGGTGGGATCCTGGTAGATGATCCGGACGTTCTCGGTGTGCGGGAACCACAGGAAGCGGAAATATTGGGAATTCCGCAGGTGCTCCTCCAGCTGATCCAGGACCTGCGTCCGGCGGGAAAACGGGAAGAGGTCGGAGGTCATTCCCGGTTTTCCGGAGTGGGAATGTTGGGAATGGGGGGTGGGGGAAGCTTGGAGGATTCCCAGGATTTGGGAGCTGGGAATTCTCGGGTTGGGATGGGGGCGATAATGCCAAAATTTGGGATCCAATGGGAATTTGGGACCAACCCTTTCCCTGGATCCTCTCCCACTTTTCTCTCTTCCCGCACCTCCCTGGCTGCTTTTCCCTCTTTCCCAAAACCCTTTCCCACTTTTCCTGCATCTTCCAATCCATTCCCTCCATCCTTTCCTACATTCCCAAAACCCTTTCCCACTTTTCCTAAACCCTCCAGGAATTTTCCTCTATGTTTTCCCACATTCCCTGAATCCTTTCCCACTTTTCCTGCATTTTCCACCCCTTTCCCTCCATCCATTCCCTCCTTTTCCTGAAATCCGTTCCCACTTTTCCTCCATCCTCCAGGATTTTCCCTCCATCATTCCCCACATTCTCTGGATTGTTTCCAGGTTTCCCAAACCCTTTTCCCACTTTTCCTGCTTCTCCCAACCTTTCCCTCCATCATTCCCACCTTTTCCCATCCTTTCCCACATTCCCTGGATCCTCTCCTGCATTTCCAACCCTTTCCCTGGATCCTCTCCCACTTTTCCTGCCTTTAAATCCTCTCCCACTTTCCCTCCACCCTTTCCCACATTCCCTGGATCATTTCCCTCTGTCCTGCATTTTCCACCCCATTCCCTGGATCCCTTCCCACATTCCCAAAACCCTTCCCCACCTTTTCCCTGAATCCTGCAGGCCTTTCCCTCCACCCTTCCCCACAGGATTCCCGGATCCTTTCCCTCTTCAGCCCGGACAGGAACTCATTCCCAGGATCCCATTTTTCAGGGAATTCTTCTATTCCCTGCCTGGGGTTGGATCCATCCCCTTCCCGACTCCTCCTTGAGAAGGAATTTTGGGAATTCTGTGGGAACTGGGAACTCCAGGAAGGGTCTCCCTTCCCTTTTCCATCCCCGAATTCCATAAAAATCCCTCGGGATGGATCCTGAGTGTCCTTGATCCCAGAATCCTGGAATTCCATTGAAGGGGTCCATAGATCTCAAATCCAATCCCATTCCGACCCCAAAATCCTGGGATTTTCCAGCCTTTCCTTGGACACTCTCAGGGATTCTCTGGGAATTGCAGCTGGGCCAAGAATTCCACCCCAAATCCCATTTTTTATGGAATTCTCTGCATTCCCTGCCTGGCACTGGATCCAGCCCCATCCCGACTCCTCCTGGAGAAGGAATTTTGGGATCCAGGGCTTCACTGGGAATTGGGGATTCCAGGAAGGGTCTCCCTTCCCTTTTCCATCTCCCAATTCCATAAAAATCCCTTGGGATGGA